CACGGCGGCCGCAACGGTTTGGATCCATTCCTGGACCGCCGTGTCAATACCTGGGACCACGCGGACGTCGAGACTTGGGCCGTCGCCAATCACCAGAAGTCCTTCAGCCAGATTGTGCCTCACGCATTCTGACCCGAGGAGTGCGGCCCAAATCGGAATGCAGTGCATGCACACATGCATCAGGCCAACGGTGCTGGCCAGCCATGGCGTAGTGCACAGGAGTACTACGCGATCATCGTCCTGCGCGCCATGCAGCTGCATTTCGACGATGAGAAGGCCCGCTTCCAGGCGTGCGTCCGCCGCCCCAACCCAGAGTTGTTGGGGGCAGACTTTGCGTGGGATCAGGCACTAGCCATTCGTGCCATTGATGGTCATACTGCCGCACACCACAACAGCCAACCATGGAATATGGGCTGGAAGCTTTCGTCATGGACGGATGCGAAGTACTTACACCATGCCACTACCAAGGATGCCTGGACGAGTATTCGGAAGATAGGCACTGTTCCAGGCGATGTTGCCGACCGCCACACACGACGCGAGGCATTTTACAGTTCCAGTTCCTTCGTGCGTTATGACACACAGAACCCTCATACTACGATCCCTGGGTACAAGTTCGAGCACAAGAAGAAGCAGGTCGACGTGGTCATCGACATGCGCTCGGCCATGACTGCTGGCTGCGAATTCTGGCTCGGAGAACAAGGGGCCATCATGTGCCCCCGGATTGTCCCAGCTATGGCCATCATGGCCCTCAGAACGGTCGGGGGCGGCGCTCTATGGCCATCCAATATGAATTGGAAGTATCCAGAGTTGGTCAAGTTGCCGGCGCCACGGAGCCAATACGAGGTCTGCGAGGTCGTGCCGGTGGCAACACCAGCAGCAGAGTCGTTGCGGACGCACATCCAGGCACCAAAAGCGAAGCCGATGCCTGTCGGCATGCGTTCCTCTTCTTCCTCTGCTGCACCGAGTGTTCCAAAGATCCCAGGTCCCCAACCAGTGCCGAAGCAGGGCCAATCGCAACTGGATAACCTCCTGTACGGAGGGGAGCCGGCGGCGACACCTGCACCGACTCTGACAGACGATGCCATTCTGACCATGGCTCACTGGTGGACGGTTGTGGACGATTGCAAGAAAGAGTGCTTCGAACCCCTTTATGGGGACACTTCCTCTTGGCACATGGGATCGTTGCAGTCGCTTCCAGAATGCCCGCATCAACGACGTCATCTACACACGACTGCACGGTTCGGCCAGTTGCCGCGCCGTTGATCGCCGGTGGCCAGCAAAGAAAGATGTCACGCTCACGCTGGGCAAAGGCAAGATCGACGGACCGACCCTCGACATTGCTCGCAATGATCCATACGTCAGTGCACGGATCCCTTTTCGAGGCCGCGGCCCGTTCTGGAGTTCCACTGCATGCAGAAAGGTACGAGATGTACATTGACCACCTGAGGTCGCACGACGTCGACCCCCACCTTGGACTTCTCGACATCGAGACTGTCATCGACAAGCCGGCGGACGCACCCGCACCCCAACAGAACGATAGTCAGGACATCAAGACCGACGAGACAAAGTTGATCAAAACGATCGAAGTCATCGATGACCTACCGTTCATTTTTGCCGGGTGTTCGACAGCGGAGCTGGACGACCTTCGCAGGGCGGGCAGAAATACACCAGCTGTTGGATTGCTGCAGACCCCACTATAGGAGGTGGATCAGGTACGCACGGCAACATACAGAGAAACATACTCGCACGATATTCATCTGGAGATACGGCCCCGCTTTGACCCCAAGGCGGATTGGCGCGAGATGAACTTCAACCCATGCTGCCCCTAGGCCAAAGATTTACCGAACACTTGTGGAAACAATCGTTTTCTGTCTACCATGATGACGGAGATGATTTGGGACGATAGCGACGATTTAGCGCTGCCTCGTTGGATTCCGCATTTGTTCGCCAATCTTCAGAGTGGTGCTACACTTCGCTTGCCAACGACTCCTTCGACGGACGTTCTCAAGAACCACCGAGCCTTGGCATCCCTACTCAGTCTCTGGGTGCTGACCGCACTATCAGACAAGAAGTATGGCGACATGCTGACGAACCCGATTAGCGACCACTATAACCTCAGGGCGTCCGCCACTCCGCCGCCCGCTGCTGCGAACACCCCTGCCCCTGACCCTGGAAGCGCTGCGTCTGCCGTTGCTCCCACGCAGGAACAGCTCACCGAGGAGATGCGCTCCGACTTTGACGATGTCATGGGTGGCCACAACGACGACAATGCGCTGGGCCAGGAGCTCCGCCGCAGAGCGGAGAAACTCTTCCGAGACCATCAGGGCACGGCCTCAGCAAACCGCGATCGCGATCAGATCTTGGATAGGGATCATTCTGATCCTATGACTGAGAACGGACTGCGATCACTGGCCGATGATCTTGCCACTGGCCGCGCCGGTTTCGCCCCAACTCACGTCGTTCGCGAGATCGGCCGAAAGTTGGGCGCTGGCGACAACGCCCGCAGGCGGATTCAAGAATGCATCGATAACGGAGCTGCTGACAACATCACCGCCAAGCAGCACTGCGCAAGCGGCTACCGCGACCTCCCCAATGACGACCCAAACGAAGATGGCCTGTGCCACGTTTGTCCTGAGCCATTCCAGCATGGGGGAACAGGTTCGTACCAGGTCCAGGTTCTGGCTGACGTGCGCAATTGGATCCGCGATCAGATGGGCGAGAACATCGCACGCCAAATAATGCGCGCAGATGTCCGGGCTCGCGTCGCTGGCGCGCGCTTCGGTTTATCTAACAAAGACCACATTCGCAGGCTGGCCAACAAAGCCGCGATCCGACACTCCAACTGGTTGGGGGCTGGCAGCCCCAGCCCTGGCCAATGTTGCGTCGGTGGACAGGGAGACGCTGACAAGGAGGAAACGGCCTTCTATCATCCGCATCCCGACCTTGCCCAGCGATTCCAGGAGGATGGCGTCTTCCACCGTCAGATGACGGAAGACAGAGTACAGGCACACCTGTGCTCATTCACGATCGATGACATGCACGAGGGGATGCGCCTGCATCGCGAGAGCCAGCGGCTCGGGCACGCTGGCCGGCGGGAACAGGCCCCCGGAGCAATGCCTCGCGGCGAGCGGCTTGACCGCGGGCACTTGACCTTTTCCGCCCCCTCAGGGGACGAGGTCACATGAACCGCGTCACGTCGAAGGACCTTCACGCGCAGGCACCCAGAGGCGTTGCCAAGGATAGGACAGGCGGCTTCACTGTCGCCTCCGAGGAACCCATCCGCCTCACCCCTGCTCCTCCACCCCCGCGCCGCGATGGCCCCGCTCCCGCCGATGCCCCTGGCGGCGCTGGCTGGGCTGGCGCTGCGGACAGGACTGGTGGAGCCGCCCATTCATCGACATCACGCCGTCCCCTGACACTACCGAGGCGCGAACACGACCACGATGACGACCGCGGCCGTAGCAGGAGTGCCGTACGCGAGTACCGCAACGTCTACACTTGGTGGCGTCGCGGACTCCAGCACTACCAACACGATACGTACCGCTACTGGTCACACCACCTGTCCCAATGGATCTATGTCGACAGCGATGACAACGAGTACATCTGTTCATGGGACAACTACCATATTATTAACACCAGTTGGTTCAATGACTACGGGGGTCGTGTTCGGGATGAGCGTTACTACGAGATCTGGCCGTGTCTAACGACCCACAGATTTAACTGTGTATCTTGGTAAACATATATTTTATAGCCACGGACTCTGGAGATTGATTTGGCATCATTACGTTTACTCTCCATGCGTATCTGGACATACTTTGACATTCGTAACATTTGACATGACAAATTTGGTTTCACATGGTATATCGATGTTGATTGGGGTTTGCATGAGATAACCTGACAACCGGATATAAACGCACCCAGGCAGGTCGTCCGCCAGTAATCTTATACATTCAGAGATATGGTCTTCTTTATCATGGAACGGCGCCAGAGCACGACCGTGCAGAGCATTATCCATGGTCATATTCGTTGTACGATTCAACGTACTTATGGGGCCCGGAGTGCCTCACATCATGCATGATAGAATATCATATGTCAGTTGCCAACACAACTATATTTACATATTATCAAACTTGGGCATGGAGCGCCCTAGCAATATTTTGGGCCTGGAGAGCCCTGTGAATGAGAGATAGTTTTACTTTGATCGAGTTGTCGTCACAACGCTCTCTTTCCATTGCTGTCCCATCCCTGTCACCTGTGGTGACGGAGTGCCGTCCAGGAGTGCCGAAGCGTTTTGGTGGGCGCACCCTGGGCCCGCTAAGTCGGGTAGACACTCCTAAGTACCCCGCGTGGCGGGGTTGGTCCTCTGCCTCACCTTCCTAGTCAGTACACCCTCGTTTGGAGGGGCGGAGGATGAAACGGGGCTGTGAGTGGACCTCACACTTCTGTTCCCGATCCATGCCGTTGTCTCCCGCGGGCCCGAGGCCATCGGGAGGTGGCAGGTTTCGGGACGGGGGGTGCGCGTGAAGCCCGCTCACTTCCCTGTTGTATCCTTTTCCGCAATTGGATTGGCTCAAGTATTGGCTCACTCACCACAGAGCACTGCACGCTGTGCAGTGCCATGGAAAAAGGAGTAATCCTTTGTGCATGTACGTATGGACCCCGTACAGGAACGGCCCTTCGGCCGTCTCCCTGTACCCACAAGGCCAGGTATAACCCCGTTGGCGTCCACTGGTAAACCGCTCGTCCCCTCAGCATCCTCCGCGTCCATCCCAGCAGAGATCTGGGAAAAGGGGGCCACGGGCGGGCGGGGCACCCGAACGGCGCGCGGCAGCGAGCAGAGCCCCGCGGGGCGCGCGGCAGCCCGCCGCCGCCGAGGCAGCGCCGCGCACCCCCGCTGGGCCTCACGCCACGGTGGCCTCGAGCAGCGCGCGGCAGCGGCGGCATCCCCGGGAGCGCCGCCCGCCCGGCCAGCGGCCCGGGCGGAACGCGCGCTTGCGGCCATGGCGGCGGCGCCGCCGCAGCAGGCGGCGGGGCGCGCCGCCGCGGGCTCCCAAGCGCAGGCGGCCATGAGCCCCCCCTGGCCCTGGCGCGTGCGGCCACGCTGTCGCCCCCCCCGTGGCCTCGCGCCCTCCCCTTCCTTCTCTTCCTCCTCCTCCTCCACCTTCCTCCTCCTCCTCCTCCTCTCCTCCTCCTCCCTCCTCCTCCTTCCTCCTCTCCTCCTCCTCCTCCTCTCCTCCTCCCCTCCCTCCTCCCCCTCCTCCCTCCTCCTCCTCCTCTCTCCTCCCCCTCCCCCTTCCCCCCCCCTCCCCCTCCCCCTCCCCCTCTCCCTCCTCCTCCTCTCGGCTTAGCCCCTTCTCCATATGATTCCAGCATGGCCTGGTTGGGTAGAGTCAGGAGTCGCGCACATTTACTCGGCGCATCCATCGACCATCACACACCCACACCTTCTCTACACGCGCGACAGTCTACAATGTTCCCCCCCGGGGAGGGCATCTTGTGAACATCGTTTCCTGATGTCCCGGCCGCGTGGCCGATAAGATCGTCAGCTGATGTTTGCACATTGTTTGTTCGAGAATTTTCGCTACGCATCAGACGTTATACATTTCAACGCAAAAAGCACCGCTTTCATGTATCAGCACTGCCCCACACCGTCTCCGTGACGTTTGGAACGTGCTTCTGGACATCCCGGCAACTAGAATTGGAATTGAACATGTGCACCATGTCAGCGCACCTTCGTGTAGAACCGAGATTCCGCCACACAACTCCCCAAAATGTGGTGCAAGCCATCGCGGCGACTCTTGCATTCGACGCGCGCGCCCTCACAAGCCCCCTACGGCTAAGGAGCTGGGGAGACACCAGCAATCCTTGCTCATCCTGCCGCCACCGCTGCTACCCGCTACCCCATCTCTCTTGGCAACCTTGCTACCCTGGTGCCCTTGTGCTCTGTCGCGCTCCACAAACTGCCCAGCACCATATCCCGTCCCATCCTCCAACGTGCCCCATCTCTCTGCTAATTGCTGTCCACACTTCCCATCCAAGCTGCCCTTATCCCTTTCTCCTTCCACCCTGTGAGCACCAAACCCTCCCCAAAGGCTCCGCGGCTGTCGTTACGCCGCTCTCGCCGCGTGGAAGCGGGACCGCCGCGCGGAATTGAAAAAAAACGAAAACTCGCGCGCGGCAAACCCGTGGCCAGTCCCCAACCGACCATTGGTCGATCGGCGTAGCCACTTCTCCACATGAGTCCAATATGGCCCGGTTGGATCGGGTCAGGAGTCGCGCACACTTACTCGGCGCATCTACAGACCATCACACACCCACACCTTTTCTACACGCGCGACAGTCTACAATGTTGCCCCCAGGGAGGGGACATCTCGTTGATCTCATTTCCTTTTGTCCCGGCCGCGTAGCCGATCAGATTTGCAATCGATGTTTGCACATCGTTTCTTCGAGATCTCTCGTCAAAACGGTAATTTTCACATACAGGGACCAGCCACCCTTAAGGCTGTGCGTTCCGCCAGAATCCTCCCCCTCCTCCTCCTACTCATCCTCCTCCTCCTCCTCCTCCTCCTCCTCCATTATTTTTCCTTCTAGATAACTCCCCCCTGTCGCACCAGACGCCTCCGTAGGCTTGGGCCGGGCGTTTCGCTTGAGACTTCTCGCCAATCATGATCCTGAAGTTTGGAATTTGCAATAGTTTCAAGGATGGAGCCCAGGTGGTTTTCAAAATGTGGCTCTCGCTTTAGCGCCGCGCACACTCTGGTCTCGAAAACTTGCAACAGCGTCAAGGATGGAGGCCAGCTCGTTTTCAACATGTGACTCCCGCCTTGGTGCCGCACAAACTCGTTTTTTAAACTTGCAACACGTTCAAGGATAGAGGCCGGTCCTTTGTGGCTCTGGCCTGAGCGCCGCGCATATCCATCCACACGACCCAGCCCTCACAATCCGATGTAAAAACTCATATCCGGTGCACATCCATCCTTCTCAACGTTCACCATTCCGAAATCTCGGTTCACAACCATACGGCTCAACCTTCTCCATCTGACGCAAATGAATTTTCATCGGCACAAATCTGGACGACCCAACCTTCACCATCCGATGCAGGAAAATAATTGTGCAGATCCATCCGACCGAACCTTAACCATCCGTTGCAAAATATCAGATTCGGTGTACATCCATACGTCCCAATCTTCATCATCTGATGTGAAGATACTATGCAGTGCAAATCCATCCGACCCAATTGTCACCTTCTTACGCAACAAATAGAATTCGGTTCGCATCCATCCTACCCGAGCCGAATTTTCAAAGGAAATGCAGCCGGTGCCGAAGCGAGAGCGCCGGAGAGGATGTAAGGTGACCCACAATAATGTTTGTCATATAGTTGATGTTCAACGTGGACTAGGAAAGCCTCAGGGCCTCTGGGAGTCTGGAGTCCACACGTAGGAAGTATCGAACGGGAGAATCGTTGTTTGCAAGGGGGCCGCTTGCGGAGCTGAGGCGGCAGCGCCGGTCCTGAGGGAAAAACAAAGAACTATCGAGCGGGAGCGCTGGTGTTGTGGGAAAGCCGGCTTTCAGCAGCGAGCAAGAGCCCCGGTCCCGAGAAGAGCAGGAAGAAGTATCGAGCGGGAGCGTTGTTGTTGTTTGTGATGGTGGTGTTGTTGTTGTTGTTTTTGATGTTGTTGGTGGTGGTGGTGTTGTTGTTGCTGTTGTTGCTGCTGTTGCTGTTGTTGGTGTTGATGCAGTTGTTGTTGCTGCTGCTGTTGTTGTTGTTGCTGTTGCTGTTGTTGTTAATGGTGTTGCTGCTGCTGTTGTTGTTGTTGATGTTGTTGTTGTGGTTGTTGTTGTTGGTGGTGTTGTTGTTGTTGTTGGTGTTGGTGTTGGTGTTGTTGTTGTTGAACATTATTACTTCTAAAGAATAATTATTGTTGGGGCCCCTGGTGCACGATCCCCCCGCCGCGCCTAGGCCGCAGCCTCATTTTCATCATTTTCGTGAGGAAGTCTCAGGCAAAACGGGGGAGTCCGGATCCGGTTGTGTTGTTACGATCGGTTTTCCCTTGCAAAAAATAAGCTAAAGTGGACATTTCTTGTTCTAACATAACCAAACTTCAAGAATCCCTTGCAAAAAATAAGGTAAAGTGGACATTCGCGCGCGCAAGACGAAATCCTTCCAAAACCTTAGTTTTCGTAGCGATTTTAACATAAAAACATAAAAAAAAAAAAAAAAAAAAA